GCAATCACTGAACGAACGACACAAGCTCCTGTCTAGACAGCGAGAAGATGCGAAAGACCTGAAAGAAAACCTAGATCGCAGGGAAAGGGTGGTTTCTGGCATCCTTGCCAAATACCTGACTGATCAACAGCTCCAGGATTACAGGCACTTTGTTCAGATGAAAACCTCCTTACTGATTGAGCAGAAGGACCTTGAAGAGCAGATTAAACTTCTCGAAGAACAATTAGAAAATCTTGAGAAAAGCATCCACCTCTGATACCCAGCAGCAGATGATCTACTTCTGCACATGGTGATTTGTGACATTTTCCGTGTGGAAATCCATATGTGTTCATTGAACTCGTCTCGGTTTGATGAATTCTTGCAATCCTGTTAGTGCCACAGTATTGACAAGTGCTTAGGTGACCTAGGCACACGGTGGAAATGCTTTCCCTTTTGCACAGACCCACTGACAAGATCTTACAGTACGTAGCAGATTGCATTTTGGAAATGACTGATAGGATGTGTTGCTCCTATTAATTTGGCATATTCCCCCCTCCCCTTGTTATCTGTCCATCTGTTCCCAGATTGACACAATCTCAATAAAACAACAATACAAATATTTTCCTCTTGTGGGTAGGCTGAATGTTGGAAATGGGAAACCATGGGAGTGTTCAAATCCAAACCAGGGATTAAGTGGCGCCATAGTCCAACGCCATGGACAGGGAAACCCCCGCACTCGTTTAATGCTAGCAGTCTGTTTTTATTATGGATAACACCCAGCAAAGGAAATACAGCCATGGATGAAGCTGTTGCTTCCTGGCCTCAGGAGCTGCCATCCCAGGAGGCTGCCTGAGACCACATGGAGTGGGGCAGAAAGCAGCGCCCTGCTCGGGCACCGGTACGAGGAGGACGGAGCCGGCGGAGCGGCCACTTCTCACGCTGATAATTTCTGCCCTTAGCCCGCGCAGCCTGTTTGCTCAGGCCTTGCTGTTCTTTCCAAGTGATTGTTTTTCAAACAACACCTTAACGGGGGTGTTTGAGATGTTTTCGGTTGTCAGCGTGCATGATAAGTGGTGAACATAGGAAAAAGAACTCTGCTGTAGTGGAGGTGAGTAGGAACAGGGGAGGAAACCACTCGGTTCCACTGGGATTTTATGACCTGGAGGAACATTTGCGGAGCGAGCGCAGGGCCCCATGTTGGGAGGGAGTCTGGAGAGCCCGTGTAAGCAGGGGGTTCAGGGACAAACCTGGAAGGTGCCTTTCGAGAATGCTCTTGAAATAACAGATGTTTTAACTAAATCAAGGGAGAATTTAAAGGGTTAGAGTGCACTGTATTAAATGAGCTGCCTGTATGGAGAAGTCTGGCCTGAAGGTGCGCTATGTTACACGCCGCTTCCTAAAGACTCCCCTTTTTCCAGGGATGTTTAGCTGCAGGTCGTGTTCCCTTAGCTTCCCTGCGTTTGGGGGAGTGGATAAGAGTTGGAGGTTGCTGTCACAGCCAAGGAACATCGTCAAGTACCAGCATCAGCAGAGACAGGCACCAAACGGGGAGACCGTCCTAGGAGGCTGACATGAACATGTGCATCTTCCCCCCATGAACATGTGTATCTTCCCCCAGCTGTGGAAAACCAACATGATGGAAGAAAGTGTCTGGTACCAAAGCTAAGCCTCCCTTTAGAGGGCAGGGGGGGTCTGTGCTGTTTAGTTTTTTGTCTTTAGTGCTTGTCTTTTGTGTTATGGGGAAGATTTTCCCCACTTCCCCTGCACTGGCATTCCCCAGCTGCTCTGCTTTAGCATTTTTCCTAATGCCAGATGTATTGTTCAAGTACAAAAATTAGAAATACTTTTTGCTCTGTTTTCACAACAGTTATGTGCACACGCTCCTTGTCGCTTTGCTGTAAGTTTGAATTCTAGGCAAAGTGAAGAACTGACAGAGGTGGTGAAACAGGGACCTCTTTGCTGGCAAGCAGAGACGGTCTTGCGAGAGCAGCAGCACGGCTGGAGCTCAGGTGGGTCCAGGTTTTAATGCTGATTATTCCTTAGGGATTTATTACCAGCGGGCTGGTAAAATGCCCTACCATGGGGCAATAGCTCCTGCTAGGCTGAAGCCCCGTGCAGTCCGGCACACTGTGCCCTGGAGCGGGGCTGGATGTGCAGGCACAGAGCGATGTGATCTGGTCCCATCCCATTCGTGGTGGCTCCTCTGCGCTAGCCCTGAAGGTGCTGAGGCTGTCGCAAGGACAGGGGCGGTTCCTGGGCTGGGAAGCTCCGGAGCTCCGATGTGGGGCCGGAGGAACCCGAGCCCTGCACTCCGAGCCGATGCGGTGGGAGCTGAAAGGAGGCACCTGCACGAGTTAATTACTGCTCTGCACTGTTGAATGCAAACGAAGAGCGCCCGGGAGGAGGGAGAAGGTAAAATGAGAGGTTGGCGATCAGAGCCCCACCAGGATTGCGGGCTGCACGCAGGCTCCTGCGCTCCGGGAGCTGCAGCTCCTCGGCCTTCCAGGCACGGAGGAAGGAGCTCGTGTTTGCCAGACAGAAGCAGGATCACAGAAAGAAAAGGCAGCTTTTATCACTGAGAGCTGGGGAGATTAGCAAAGATTGTAGGTGTGGGGCAGAGCAAGCGGCCAGGGGGAAGAGGACGTGGGTTGTGTCCGCCTGGCAGCGCTCCCGGAGCCGCAATGGAGCCGCGAGCGCCTGCGCGGGGCCTGCGGAGCACGGGGGTTCCCTCTGCTCTGCGAACTCATGGCAACCGCCTGAATAAGAGTGCAAAAATAAACACGGAGCAGCAGAGCGGGGCCCACGCGCACGGGGAGCAGCCGCATCGGCAGCCTCTGCGCTCGGCAGCGTGTGAGTCTCTCTGCTAAACAACAGATCAGAAGCACTCAAGGGTATGAGGGGGAATGAAAAATGCCACACGAGCTGTGTAGCTGAGTCATCTCAGACAAATCACCAGGAGAAAATACAGGTTGAACTGGTTGTGTCGATGCGGAGACCACGCTGACACTCGTAAGAACATCCACAAGTAGTCAGGCATCTTTCTCATCAGCTCCTGCAAAGGAAGGAAGAGCGAGAGCAGCCCACACTACCCAGAGAAGAAACCTCTCCTGTCCCAATCCCTTGGGGAGTCCTTGTCCAGACTGCTGTGACTGGTGGCTCCAGCATCTCTTTTGGGACCAGGTCGCTCAGTCCACGGTGTGCTCAGAGAAACCCCATCCCGGGCGGACTCGGAGCTGGCGGCTGCCAGTTCTGCCCTGGGACCACTCAGGTTGGCCAGAAACTCAGCTCTCTAGAGTGTTTTTACTCCACAGGAGGAGCTGGAAACACTTGTTTCTTCCTATATCCTGCATTTCCATCGATACAGCTTTACCAGAAAGTTCTTTGAGGTACAGTTGACTGTTTTGGTCCCTTCAGGGAAGCAAGGCCAGGCTTCTGAACCGTGGGGCTGTATCGGGAGCCCTTGCAGGTGGGACAGCACTGATTTGTGGAAGCAGTTTGGGGAGAGCAAATGCTGGAGCAGTTTCCCTGTCTCTCAATGCCTGCGTTTGCCCCATTTGGGGATATTCGGCAAGGAGGCTGTGTCCCTGCTGGCAGCTCCATCAGCCTTCGGAAGTGTCTCCTGGTGCTTGTGCTGGTGATCACCAGAGGGACGAGCCGGGAGCAGTCGCTCATGTTCCCTGTGCCCGGTGATTCCAGGTTGCAGCTGCTCGGGCCTGAAATAGGAAGTAGGAAGCACAACTCCGGCTGCAGCTTTTCCTGCTGGGGAAGAGCTGGGCCTCGAGTGCTGTTTTTTGGCCCTAGACAAACTCAAATGCACGGTCTGCAGACAGTAGCAGAAGCTGAGCCAGGATAAGGGCTCCGTGTGCTTAATGACTCACTCTGTTTTATTCTCTTTCTCCATTAGTGACCTAATCCCTAGAGCTGCACTGCTCCGTGGATGCTCCTCATTACAGCTCGGAGCGGCCTGTCGTGTCCCCGCTGCCCTCCCCGCACAGCCACGGCAGCTGATGGGGCCCACGCTGCAGTCGCAACCTCTTCATTTGGAGCGGCCCCCGCCCGCA